CCACCACGTGGATTCACCGGACTCTTAAATCATGCAAAGGAGGCACACCTACCTGGCGCTCACCCATCTCGATCTTCCTGCAAACCTGCTTTTCCTTAAAAACAAACAAACAAACATGTGAGCACTATTACACGTTGGCACGTTTGTGGCACCTCCAGTCCGACGCGTTGAACACAAGTCAAAGCTGTTCGCCCGAATACAACATCATTACAGAGAGGCCGTGTCGGAGGAGCCACAGCTGGAGGTGCTCACACCGGAAGGAAGCGCCGTGTGGATTCCGCCCATTGACGGCCTTGGCGGGGCTCAGCGCCTGGCCGGCCATGGGGAAAGCGTGGATTAATGACGGTCTTTGCCATTGCGATGGACTGCTGTCACCTACGCCTGCGTGTCACCTACCTCTCTCACACACGTATTGATTGATCCATCCTATAGGCGAACACAGGACCGATGTCACGCTTTCAAATGTATAGGGATGTCATACATGTGCCAATTTGAGGTCCATGACCTCCCAGGAGACCTAGAGTGGGAAGAGTTCCCTTCCAGTTCCGACGGCGCCTCTCCTCCACAGAGATGCTGGAGCCAGGCCCCACGCTCTCTGTGCCTCAGTTTCCCAAAGTGTCACAGGAGGTGACCTCCTGCCCACTCTCGCGCGGGAACCGAGTGAGGTTATCGGCAGAAAACGGCTTGGGAAGAGGACAGAGCACCGCACAGACGAGAGGGATAACGAGGCGTTTTACAAAAGAGCATTATTCCTTTGCTAAGACGTGTGCATCGCGCCCACCTTCCTGCCTGTGAAGGTTCTGCTTTGAAATTAAATTGAGACCATAGCCGACACCCTCCCAGGGCGGCCTGAGGTTCACTCCGCAGCAAAGCCAGGGCTTCTTTTCATCATCCATCGCATCGAGTTCAAGCACCCAGAGGTACTTTTCACCAGCGGTGAGCAGAGCTGCCCTCACTGCACAGAAACACAGAAAACCATCTCCCTCGCCACGCTGATGGGAGGGTGAGGCTGGCTCTACAGTTGGTACCCAAAAGGGCCTTGATCGGCTGTCGGTGGCCTGTTCTTGCACCAGGACGAGGGAAGCGGTGAGAGAGAGAGAGAGAGCATGAAGCCAAAGCTTTAGTTATGCCTGTGAATCATGAAAATCAGTATTTTCTTTTTTTTCTTAACCTTAAAAAAATAATTTTCACCTGAGGATATTTTTCCATTGATTTTTAGAGAGAGAATAGAAGGGAGAGAGACAGAGAGAGAAACAGCGACGTGAGAGAGACACGTAGATGGGTTCCCTTTGAGTCTGCAACCCAGGCGCATGCCCTTGACCGGAGTCAAATCCCGGACCCTTCTGTCCGCAGTCTGAGGCTCTTTCCACTGAGCCAAACCAGCAAGAGCAAAAAGGTACATTTTCAAATGAGAATCCTGTTCCATTTTTTCTTTCAGCCTGTAGTGCCCAGGGGAGCCTCCCTTGTTGGAAGTAAGTTAAAATCCTCTCTGCATTTGCTCACCCCGGTCCATTTGCTATGTTCTCTACGGTGGTGGGATGGTGCCCCTACTTTCAACGTGAATATTTTCTCTCCTGCTCTGCTCTGTCTGGAGATAGTTCCTAGTTCTACCAAGATAGGACTTCCTCTCCTACTGAAATCCTACCCACCCCTCCGGGCACATCTTAAAGGCCAGGAATCCCATGCAACTTCCCCCAACACTCCTACCCAATTGCAATCTCTTCCCTTTCCGAATACATTTCAATTTTCTTAAATTATATTAAACACACACACACACACACACACACACACACACACAAAACACAACCACTCCCCATTTGTTTTCTGTCTTTTGTTGACACATGAATCATTTTGTCTGGTGGGTACATGTCTCCACTGCAATAAAGAAAAATCAAGGCTCCTTAAGGTCACTGAGCAACACACACACACACACACACACACACACACACACACACACCTGTAGGATCCCGATCAACAAGAGTCGAACCCATTCACCAGCTTTGAGATTCAGGGCTAGCTTCTGTCCTCGGGGCTACCACTTCAGCTAGTCAGCAACACTAGCTACAGTTCCAGGAATGAGGAGGAAAAGGCAGCGTTAATATTTTCTAAGAAGATTCTAATCTGGTGTGCATATGTGTGTGGTGTCCCCAGTAAGGCACATTTCTTATAAACATGCATTTTTGGATGGGTAAACTCTACAAAGATGAGGCTACATCTCAGAATTCGTTTTTCTTTACCTTCTATTATTAGCTAATACGAATATCATGGAGATGTCCTTACCTTCCTAACACCTCAGCCTTAGACTCTTAAAGTCTATCATCTTAGACTTTTTAAAATGTATTTTTTATTGACTCGATTGGGGTGACATTGGATAATAAACTTGACTTGGGGTGGTGAACGCACAATACAACATACAGATGATGTAGTATAGAATGATGCCCCTGAAACATACATAATTTTATATTAGTCACTGCCTACTTAGCCTAGTAACTTTCACTATCGTGTGTGTATGTGTCTACTTTGGAGAAAAATGAAATCCTTAAAGCAAACCAGGAATTCTAGAGTGAGAGACTGCATGCCCAAGCTGCGTCATATCCAATTAACTCAGATTGCCTGGATTATTCGGTTAGCGCATGGAAGATCAATAAATATGGGGGAAACCACCCCACTTTCCCATCCGACGCTGGTGGGTCTGCGGCGGATCATGCTCCTGTGATGTGTGAGCCGAGGCCCAGGCAGGCAGGTGGTGCACAGACACCATTCAAACTTGGCCTATTCAATCGCAAGCCCTCTAACTCCCCATTCATGCATAGCAAAACACCATCTGGTCCTATTTTGCCTCCAGCAATCACAGCTGACCAAAAAAACGATAATAACAGCTGTTGCAAGACAAAAGCCAAACAAAGGCGGTGGGGGTAGGGAGAGTGGGGGGGGGGAAGGTTAGATTGAAGTCCAGTGCTGAGAAGACAAAAAAAAAGAGCTCCATGAAGTGAGAAAGGGGAGAGAGACCTGAAGCCCACTGAATGCACACGGCAGAGGACTTCTGCTCACCCTTGAGCTAGGAATCCATTTGTCGCCAAGGCCTTCCAACTCCCGTCAGGTGGTAGCCGGCCGCAGAAATGATGCCGCCACAAAGGCATTTAAGCTTTTGTTCTTGGAAGTCAGGAACTAATGACCCCGTGTCAGCTACAAAGGAAACCTCCGTCGGTTATTTCATCCTACGGCATCCAGGTTAATGCAAGAGAGAGAACATGTTTAGGCAGAGTAATAAAATGATGTGCCCACGGCAGGGGGGACAGAGAAGGTGTGTGATGGAGGTGGAGGGGGCGGGAGGGCCTTGTTCATGATTGTGGACACTTAAGGGGGAAGGCTTGAAGGCCACTGAGGCACCCCACTAATCAGCTTCCACATTTCTCAGGCCTACTTCTCAGCAGCCCGATTACTTTCCGACCCGTAACAACAACAAACAGTCCACCGCCTTCTTACTTTCAAGGCACCAGAAACACATGTACAAATAGAAATCCAAGTTGATGCACCATAGTCTCAGTGAGTCCTGAGAAGAATTATTCGGTCCCAAGTCATGATTCAAGCCTTTGGGTGTTTTATAACAGATAGTTTTGCCTGATGAATAATTTTTGAAACTGGAGGGGACGGAACTATGTTTTCCCCCCTTGACATGGGCCATCAGTGGCTTCGCAGCATTTCATCAAATGTGATAAAACCCAAGATTTAGAAAGTCATTTAATAGATGTTACAGCACCTGCTTCTAACTGCAAACAGTCGAACACAGACTTCACTTGCAATTAAGCCTTATCACTAGTGACATTTTTTTCCCCCCAGCAATACTTCATGGGTTTTCAAAATGACAATTACAGAACTAATACACAATTACTGTCACATGGAGTCCGCCAATTAATTCTGAAGACATTTGTCTAAAGGTTTCACAACAGAATATAAAATGGCTCTTATTGTTCTGTAACGTTCGTCTCGATCCTCAGAGAACCTTCCGCCCGTCGGTTCTGCTTCTGATGGATCTGATGGGAGCAGATCCCTTCTGTGTGGGGCGCACTGTCCCCTCGTAGATGGGATGAGGCGTCGTCCGAAACCCGCACACTGATACCTGTCAACTCATGCATCTTAGGAAAAGCTTCCATTTAGACATACATTTCTCTACAGCAAGAAATCTATAAATTTATAATTAGAATCGCTTGCTGTTCAATATTTGTACATTCTACAGAGGAGAGGATTATGAAATATTAAAAGCCGGATTCATTATTCATTGCCCACAACATACAGTAAATATTCTTTGAGAGGCAACAACTTGGAGGCATCCAGAGTCCATTATTTTTTGAGTGCTTCGCACCCGGTAACTATGGACCCGGCTCCTCACACCCTCGTTTGTGTGTGTGTTTGTTTTTTTTTCCCTCCAGATGAGGGTCTGGTCAGGCTTGACACTTGCTGTTTTTTAATTTTCATTTTATCATAAGCAGTGGAAGACTGTTGCCAGTGGTAATTTGCAATTTTTATCAAGACCTCTTCATTATAGCTTCTGACACGACAGATGCTGTAATTAATCATGCAAGACAACTGGGGATCGTGGTCACAGTGTTCTCCAAGAGGAGCCATCAGGAGCGAGGAGAGGGGGGACGACGTGGGCACTGAAATCATTATTTTGGCTGAAGAATTAGCATGGGTTTTAAGAGCAATCGCCACACCAGGCCAGCCCGCTCTCGCCCCCTCATAGAAGACGCGTGCTTTTTCCTCTCTACCTACCTTCCACCCTTGCCCCTTAACACAAAGATCATCACAAAACCCTTTCCAAAGTATGTTTTGTTGCTTTGTTTTTTTTCAAGGGCCCTGGTCTGGGGCCAGGCCATCCACATCCTTCCCTCTGATATCCCATTTCCGGTTGAAAATGGGAGACGATCTTGAGCTCCAATACAAGTTGGTACGTGGCCTACTTCCCCCTGCGACACGTATTCAAGGAACCAAAAGGGAAACGTGACAGATCATTTTATTTGAAAAGTGAACAGTTTCCGGGTTGTTGCATCAAAATACAGCCCACGGTCTTTACTGAAATGTGTTTATTCTATAGCAAGATAAAAGCATTTTTTTTGTTTTAGTTAAGCAAAATACAAACAACTCAATTGCTGCTATCGTAACTCATAAAAAAGTATAAAACAGCGTAAAAACACAATAAGCAACGTAGCAATGAATGGTTTGTGTCACCAGTGTTTACGTTAAAGCCTCGTGTATGAAAACTTTACAACACATGATAGGAAAACGTACAACTTGGAAAGAAAATATTTACATTGATTATTCAGATGCGGTGCGCCTGTTAAATATTCTACCGGTATGACATCATAATAAAAACTCTCGCTTTTTTTTTTTTAAATCTTAACTTTTGTAATAACTGCTTTCATTTAAGTTCATTTCCCTTTTAAAAATACAGTGTTTTTATTTTTCGAAACTTGTCACTCAAAACACAGAATATAATATTCACATTCTTTCCCTCTAATTGGAATGGATATAATGGGGCTAACAGTGGTCATAGATATTGTTCGATTTGGAGAAGTCGTGGGTAAAAAGTGGAAACGAGTCAATACTTGAATCTAATCACTTGCTTTTTTTTTTCTTTTTCTGGAGATAGTTAGGAAAAAAAAATAAGACCTTTGGCAAAAGTCTATGATTTACATTGTTATTATTTTTTTATGACAAAAAAATGCCATCGACTATTCATGTCATACACATGTTTGTATGACACGGGAATATCTTCCTATTCAGGTAGTTACAACTGTGCTTTTAATTTGGGGGGGAGGGGGTTCATGAGTTCCCGTCGCCTGGAAGTGCGGTCCAGTCACTTAAATGGAGACATAAGGCCATGTCCTGTGACTCAGAGAGGCCCCTGTGTCGTCCTTGGTAGGTCCCAGGATTCATGAAACGGTTTGATTCACATATCGTAGGTACAGCCTGAATAAATTAAAAAAAGGCATCACATAACAGAGCACAGCTTTTCTTGTGGGAAACCCCAGTGGCTTTTCGAGTCAGCTAGAGGAGGATGCTCAGCTACGCTGTCGTTCTTATTGCCTATCTAATAGACACTTCAGAGGACCATGGGATCTGTGATGCGTGTCTGCAGGGCCGACACCGACTGCCCAGTCTCCGCCGCGGATAGCGGACCCTCCGCCGGCCTCCGCGCGCCCGACCGTCTGTCCGTCCGCCTGCCGCTGGCTGCGCGACTTCAGAAAATACTGACCTGTGGCAGCACTGGAGTCTGTGTCTGGGACTGTATCTGCGGCTGGGAGGCCGGCTGGGGGCTCCCGATGGCGGGGACGGGGGACGTCATCTGAGGGGCGCTGCCCGGCGAGTGCTGGCGCGGCGAAGGCTGCGACGGGTGCTGCATGTGCTGCAGCTGCTGCAGCTGCAGCTGCTGTTGGAGCTGCTGCTGGAGCTGCTGCTGGCTGAGCTGCTGTTGGCTGAGCTGCTGCTGCAGCTGCTGCTGGCTGAGCTGCTGCTGCAGGTGCTGCTGGAAATGCTGCTGCTGCATCTGCTGCTGGAGCTGCTGGTGCATCTGCTGCAGCTGCAGCTGCTGCTGCTGGGTCTGCTGCTGCTGGAGCTGCTGCAGCTGCTGCTGCTGCTGCTGCTGCTGCTGCTGCTGCGGGGTCTGCACGGACGGGCTCACCTGCGTGGCGGACGCCGAGCCCACCAGGCCCGCGCCCAGGGAGCTGATCAGCGGCGCCCCAAGGTTCGACGGCATGCTGGCCGCAATGGTGACCGACGTGACGATCTGGTTCATGGGCAGTCTCATGGTAAGGGCTTGGGGCGATGAGCGGGGGAGCGACTGTTGTGCAGGGTCTGGGCGGGCGCCGCCGACACCGCCCCGTGAGGAGGCAGCGGAGGGTTGAGGAAGAGGGAGGATGTCAGATTGGTGGGCGCCAGGGTCTGCTGAACGGAACGAATGGTCTGGGCTTCCGCCGACTCAGCGGCCGCCTGCATTCCGGGAGGGAAAGTCCCAAGTATGAAAATGCACGCGGAGTTAACAGAGTTAAGCATTCTTTTCAGGATGGCCACCACGATGCATGCTCCCCTGTCCCCAAGCCCTTGGCCCTGTGGCTTTTTAGCTGGTCCCCGGGATAGAATCAAATTTCCCCCCTCTTGTCTGGGGCCGGCCTTGTGCCTCTGCTCTGCTGGACGGAACGTGGTGGAAGCGAGGTCTCAAGGGGCCTTGTACCCGTCCACACACACTACCTCTCAGAACTACCACTGCCAAGTGCGATGACACGTGCATGGCCCAGTTACCCCACTCAAGAGCCCGCCAACTGCCTGCCACCTATGGGAATGAGTCCATTCCCCCCTCACCCTGACCCTGCACCTCCACAGGCATTGTCAACAGATGAGCAGAACTAGGTGATCCTGCCCACCATGCCCTCAATCTGAAGAACCAACCAGCTAACTGGCACTCTCTGAGATCAACCCTTATCTTCTGAAGTCCCTGGCTTTGTAGCTGCTTGTTACGCAGCTATGCTGTAGGGACAGATGACTGATACACATATTGAAGAGCAACGATTCTTCAGCATGTAAGTCGGCACTAACCTCCCCACCAAATATTGACATGGAGTACAGACTGCCTGAGTACCAATCTACCTCTATGACTTCAGAGCTCTGTGATTTGGGGCAAATTAATTCATCCGGCTGTTCCTCATTGTCCTTGTCTATAAAATGGTATCTGCCTTGTGTAGAGGTCGTGAGAATGAAATCATATGCGTGAGGCATTTTAGAACAGTGCCTGGCCCACGGGAAGCGTTGAGTAAATGTTAGCAGCTTTTATTAACAACCACAGCTACCAGAAAACACCAAAGCCAGGTATGTGCGTGATTATTGTAGAACAGTGCTCACTTGGATATAAGAACAACATAACTGAATTCCTTAGAGGTACTCCATTGAAGTGCTTTACAGTGTGAGAAGTGGTTTAGTTTACCAAGTATTTGCAAAGAGTTCTGGAATTTACCAAAGCAGCCACGGATGAGGGAAGGATGTTTAAAACTCTGTGACTGGATAACCTGTTATAAACAACCAGCTGGGGCTCAGCCTAGAGAGAAACTACCTATTATATTCTGCACCGAACACACAGAATTACCGCCTCAAAAATATATATTTTACTGATGCAACAGGGATTGGAGTGATTCCTCTTAAAGACTATATTTCCTCCTTATCCTTCACAGAACCAGAAGGTTTGGGAGACAGGGTGGTGGGGTCACCATGGAGCCATCGAGCTGATACCCACTCTCTTTAAATGATTTTGAATGTTTACTTCTGGATTTTTATCGCTTGGATTTATAAAATCTACTATTAGAAGGAACCTGACAAGTGACCTTACAGGTACAGACTAGCAATTTTCAATCTTTTTCATCTCCTGGCACACAAAAACTATTACTAAAAGTCTTGGCACACCAAAAACTATAGTTTTTGCTGATCTGACAAAAAAAAAAGGTACAATTTTGATTCATTCACACTGGATGGCTATTATTGTGTTGGCTGTCATTTTTTTCTTTTTCTTTTTTTTGTTAATCCTCACCTGAGGATATTTTTTCCAAGGATTTTTTTTTTTTTTTAGAAAGTGTGGAAGGGAGGCGGAGAGACAAAGAGAGAGAAACATCGATGTGAGAGAGACACATCGATAGGTTGCCTCTTGCACATGCCCCGGCTGGGGCCAGGGATTGAGCCTGCAACCGAGGTACGTACCCTTGACCAGAATCGAATCCATGACCCTTCAGTCTGCAGGCTGATGCTCTAACCACTTAGCAACCCAACTAGGGCTGTTGTCATTTTTTTTATTTGACAGTCTAAGAGAAAAGAGGTTGGTGGCCCTGAATAAAAGCCAAGTATTGCGTGTTTTAAAAATTCTTGCGGCACACCAGTGTGCCACGGCACACTGGTTGGAAATCGCTGGTATAGACAGTCACTCAGTGTAGGAAAAGCCATCGCTGATGCTTCTGTTTGAATTCATGGTATCACTGAACAGTAAGCCTCCATTAATGTCCTGGCTGCTGTGGAAACTGAAAGTGACAGTAGTCACATCATAAGAGAGTGAATCCTGGGCTCCAAAGGTAGAGACACAAGTTATATGCACATATGACGCCACCCTCCTTGTCATGGCTCACGGGGAGGCTGAACTCATGCTCCCCATAACCTCACTCCTTGGACGAGTTCTATGTCAGACTCAGAGATGAAACTCCGGCCTCCGTCACATGATGGCCTTCACATCTGAAGACTACCATCATCTGCTTCCCTGTGTCTTTCAATGACTTAGTTTTCAGTCCCCCTCTGGGCAGCCTTCAACTGATCGCCATTCCTCTTTAAATTGTGGGGTCCCCGAAACAGAACCAGTTCTTCAGGGGCGGGCTGATCACCACGCTGTACAATGAGACGCTGCTTCCTACTATGTGAGATCAGCATTTTGGCCCGTTTTACAAGTGCTGCCCAGGTTGAAGTTATTCTGAACTTACATCTCAAGGACTATTGTAGCCGCCCGCCAGGTCTCTGAATGTAAATTTAGGAACCCCTGAAACCGCACCAACAAACAATATTCTAGATTGATTCTTTTAACTTCCCATCTGATTGACTTTTCAGAGATACTGAATCCCGTTAATATATATATATTTCTGAAGCTAGTTTCTAGCATCCAATGAGTCACATTTAACGTTTCCCTTCTAAGCCAGCCGCAGAGTTGATGAGCGCAAGCATGGCCGCGATTTCCTTAGTGCCTTTGAGTGAGTCACTGGCTCTGGGCTGATAGGCACCTGCGGTCAGTGACTCACGCTCTCAAGCACAAAGATCAGCGCTCCCTGCTTCGGGGTGAGTGCGTGAACAAATGCCCCCCTGAGCAAGTGTGTGCACATCCCTACTCACTTCCCTCCACCTAACGGCCGTGGACCGCACTCAATTCTGAATAGCGACGGCCCACATTCAGCTGTTTTCTGCAAATGACAAATCTGAGGCCAGAACAGGTACCCTAGCTTTCTTTCTTTTTTAAATAATGATTTATTGTTAAAAGTATTACATATGTCCCCTTTTCCCCCCATTGATCTCCTCCAGCCCGCCCCCACCCCCCAGGCCTTCACCACCCTATTGTCTGTGTCCATGGGTGATGCATAGATGCATATAAGGTCTTTGGTTGCTCTCTTCCCACTCCCCCACCCTCCACCGCCTTCCCTACGAAATTCTGCACTCTGTTCCACGCTTCTATGTCTCTGGATCCACTCCGTTCATCAGTGTATTTTGTTGCTTAGATTCCGCACAGGAGTGAGATCACGTGGGTGTCCTATCTTTCAGTGTGTATCTTCCAGGAAAAAAGGTTTGGCTATTGACCTAGACTGCCTTTCCTCCTTCTAACAAAGTGGCAAGTGTCCCCCCAGCTGTCCCAGGCAGGAGGACCGCTCTTGCTCTGATTCTGAGCAGCCGAGCATGATAGATTTTAACATAAAAGGAGAGACAACGCGAAGAGAAAAAACAGGATACACCCTTCCAAACAGCCTTGCAACCTACCACGCCCTGAGGCCCCGAGTGGGACTGTAGGCAAAACCAATGACAAGAAGTGGAAGCCCTGCTTGCCAGGGGACATACATCAAGATAAAAACCCTTAGCTCAATTTAATCTCCCCAAAGCCTCTCTAAATTCTAGGGAGGCTGAAGACAAAGTTAATTAAATGTTAAAATCATATAATGTAATAGCTCAGGCTCCTTTTGGATCAAGGTAATAATAATCTAGAGTGACATTTGCTTTGGGATGTTGGGGCACTTTCTAATACATCAGGGTCCATTGTATACTCGGTGTATAATACATACACATGTCTTTATTTTTCAGTGCCGGGAGCGTAGTTTTACTTTAAATAATCATGAGGTTTATTTACATGATATGGAACAGTTTGGTCAAAAAATGCAACCTCCCCTCTTGCAATAATGAACTCATTGGCGGACTTATGACATGATGTCCAACAATGCAAGACAGACCAGCCTCCCAGCTTAAACAGGGGACACCGACACAGAGCTCCGTCTCTGACTTCAACGAAAGAATAAGAGGCCATTTCAAATTTGTCTAAATAGCTTCGCCACACATCTAGAGACCAGTGAATCCTTTGGCAACAATTTTGATTCAGCAGCTGAAATTACTGGAATTTATCGCATTTTTCATGCCATCATGCCAGGACTCCTTAATGGAAACAAATAAATGCGTGAGTTGTTCAAGAGGCTTTTTCGGTCAGATCTGAGGCGAGGTGCATTTATGTGTTCAATGCTGGGGGGGTGGGGTGCTGTTTTCAACCTTGTACCTCTCAGAGACCGGCCACCCGGCACAGGCTTACCTTAGACACGAGGCTGGCCCTGTATGCGGCCAGGGCCTTCAGGTACTCCTTTTTGGCAGCTTCCGTCTTCCTTTTATACACCTGCCGAAAGGCCACAATTAGCACCACCCGTTCTGAAACCATGAAATAACTGTTGGACAATGTAGGTCACAATGTGACCTAATCACATTAACTCACATAAAAAGCTGGTCTCCCTGGCTTTGATCAGTGTAAACACACACACACACCTCAAAACAAAACCCAGCCACCCTCACTGGAACACAATTTTGATGTTTACTGTGGCAAATGAGAAAAAGATTTCAGGGTGTAGCGCAGACTCTTTGAGAGTAACAGAGGAGGGTCTCATGCGCAGGCAGTAACTAAGGAAGTAAGAAGAATAACATTTGCTGCAAATGGTTGAAATTATAAAAAGTAACAAGTTTTCCCAGCCAGTGTGGCTCAGTGGTTGATAGTTGACCTATGAACCAGTAGGTCACGGTTCAATTCGTGGTCACATGCCCAGGTTGCGGGGTTTGATCCCCAGTAGGGGGCATGCAGGAGACAGCCAATCAATGATTCTTTCTCATCATTGATGTTTCTATCTCTCTCCCTCTCCCTTACTCTCTGAAATCATTACATATATATATATATATATATATATATATATATATATATATATTTTAAAGTAACGAATTTCTCCATCAATGTCTTCTTTCCTCACACACATTTATAAATCAGAGAATTAAAACACCAACTGGCCCTGACTGGTTTGGCCCAGTGGATAGAGCGTCGGCCTGTGGACTGAAGGGTCCTGGTTCGATTCCGGTCAAGGGCACATGCCTGGGTTACAGGCTCGTTCCCCAGTAGTGGGTGTGCAGGAGGCAGCCAATCAATAATTCTCTCTCATCATTAATGTTTCTATCTCTCTCTCCCTCTCCCTTCCTCTCTGAAATCAATAAAAGTATATTTAAATCAAAACAAAACAAAATAAAACACCAACAACAGGTAGAGTGTGTGAAGACAGAAAGGATAGAGGCCTTTGGACCTTGGTTTTCTTTTGCAGAGAAGAAAAGCCATACATAGTGAAAGTTGGGAGATTTCCATTAGTGAGATGCATGAGTCACATAAACACTTCCCAGCATATCACATATGATTTGGGCTTCTTTTCCTAACAATGACCTGATGGCTAAGTATTAGACCAAAGCCTATCTTTCTCTCTGGAGTTGAAAAGTTGGGTGCAGCCGTTAGCCAGACCCTTCAGGTTACATGTCTGGGGTAGAAAATCAGTCTGCTACACACGGCATACACACAGGCAACTTCTGCAACCGCACCCTCCCAACAAAACCAGCTGGTAAAAATGATATCATGATTTGTCAAGAAAGGAAAAAATCAAGGGTTTTCCACTCTCCAACCCTGAAACAATTATTCTATTTTCTTACGAATAGGGGTCTATTCTTCCAGTTAACTTCTATTAATGGTCATGGGAGTTTCATCGCAAGGAGCCAGGGGAGGAATGACCCCCAGGGAAGCCTTTCTTTTCTGCGCTGTGTGGAGGAGTTGCAGGGAGGAGGAGGAGAGACCAGGCCTGAAGGAAGTATCTCCCACCAGCCTGGCTAATCTCCCAATACCTCTCACACTGCCGAGCTTTCAAATGAACCTGGCATAACATTTCAAATGCCTGGGGAAAATAATGAGACACGCAGGGACAGCTTCAAAGTTTGAAAACCCACTAGGATAGCATGCGAGTTCAGAAAGATGATCACAGAAAAGGCAACTGGGATGGACCCCGTGGCTTTGTGGCGCCCTTTTTGAATTAAGGGGGAAAACAGTCCACATTATTCAAAATGAAGAGATTAAAATCAAAAGTGTATGCTTGCAGGGTACTGCCTGGATTTCCTCCAACTCTCCTCTGAATGGGTTCAGATCACACATCCTTATAGGAACTGAGAAATCCATATAACTGGAGCATGGGTTGTGTTCATATATTCATATATATTTGTGTGTGTGTGTGTGTGTGTGTGTGTGTTTTCCATTCCATAGTTTAGAAAGGATTTTGTGGAAGTGATCACATTAAATGAACATATTCACTCAGAAAAGATATTGCCCTGGAGGTGCAGCTCAGTTGGTTGGAGCATCATCGTCCGATGCACCGACAGGTCCCTGGTTCGATTCCCAGTCAGGCCACATGCAAAGGTTACGGGCTTGGTCTCTGGTAGGGGTCGTGCAGGAGGCAGATAGTTGATGTTACGCAATCACAACAATGTCTCTCTCTCTCCCACTCCCTTCCTCTTTCTCTAAAAAATCAGTAAAAAGTATTATTTAAAAAAAAAAGATGTAAGGAACCCTGGCTGGGTGGCTCAGTTGGTTGGAGCATCGTCCTATACACCAATAGGTTGCAGGTTTGATTCCCTCAGGGCACATACCCAGGTTTCAGGTTCGATCTCTGGTCAGGGCATGTACAGGAGGCAACTAGTTGATGTCTGCTCTTTCTCCCCCCCCCCTAAAATCAATAAAAATTAAAAATAAAAACATCCTCAGGTGAGGATTTTTTTTAAAATTAAAGATGTAAGGAACACCCCGGCCGCATGTTAGCACTGTGGCCCCCACGGAGCTCTGTCTTACCTGCTTTTGTTCCTCTCCAAGGCTGTCCCACATGGAGGCCACGATTTTTGAGACCTCTCCAAAGGTGGCGTTGGGGTTCTGGCCTTTAATGGCAGCCTGTGTGTCCCTGAAAAACAGGGCGTATGCGGACACTGGCTTCTGGGGCTCGTTGGGATCTTTCTTTTTCTTCTTCTTTGGAGTCTTGGGCTTCTTGCCAGAATCCGGAGCCGCTCTTTTCTCCCCGATGGCCTGCAAAGCACGAAGAACATTCACTGCCTGGCAGGTCTCTGCAGCAGGACCTACTACTCGGGTCCGCAATTGTTCTTTTAAGGTTCTGGGAAGCATCGTCCACAGATGAGCCACCAGGCAGAGCGGGGGAGGGGCGGATTTGCTTAGAGTTCACTGGACAGCAGGGATTAGCATTTAGAACTTTGATTAATGAGATCCAGAGGTATCTCCAATCTAGTTACAACATACGCTCTAAATAGCAGTTATGAGTAATGAAAAATAACCCTCCATACCAGGCAATGCTCGCTCTCTCTCCCTCTCTCTCTCTCCCTCCGTACACACACACACATACACACACACACTAAGGCTACACATATATACATAAACAAAATATTTCACTTTTTCAGGGGTTTTAAAAGTAAACCTAAATAACATTCAGGATGTCAATCCTATTCAGATATTTTAAATGAGGTCCCTTGCCATAGTCACATGCCATATGTAGGATGGGTCTGAATTGATTTTTTTTTTTTTGGAGGCTGATTTTTTTATTTTGTCAGAGTGTTACTTTATTAACGGGTCTCCGGAAACTCAACTAGAAATTAGCTACAACCCCTAAGATTGTACAATAAGGATAAGGTCATCTTTATTTTCTAAAACATTAACTTTCTAAAGAAGAGGAGAATGAGAAATGCATGTCAAAACTCCTTTAATGGGAAATAGAAAGGAAACTGATACCCTTCTCAGAATTAAAAAACTGTGATAGAGCAATAGTTGATCTTAAACTCACCAAGGCTAAAAAGAAGACCAAGAAGAAGATTTTTATTATATACTAGAGGCCTGGTGCATGGATTCGTGCACTGGTGGGGTCCTTCGGCCTGGCTTGCGCCCTCTCACAATCCGGGACCCCTCGGGGGATGTCAGATAGCCAGTTTCAGCCCCATCCCCACAGGCCCCATCCCGACAGGAGAGAGCCCGATCCTATGCATTGAGCATCTGTCCCTTGGTGGTCAGTACACGTCATAGCGACTGGTCAACCGGTCGTTCGGTCGCTTAGGCTTTTATATATATAGATGGTAAATAAGCTTGCCCAGAATAATACTGCCACACAGATGCTCACACAGATTCCCAATATGAGCTCCTAGAAATGATATGGATACAGCCCGGCAACCATATAAACCACGGACTTCCAGATTCCACTGCTACCACCACCTGATTCCAAATATTCTAAATCTATACTCATCAGAGAAGCAGGCAAAATGATGGATCAACCTTGTTTCATCCCCTTAGATTATCATGTGACTATACTGGGGATCATTTTGCAGCTACTTCATCAAGAATGTGGACACGTTTGACCAAAAGCTGTCTTAAAAGCCAGCCTGGGGCAAGATCAGCAGAGATAGATTCAAGCTACAAACAGATTGGCTTTTCATGGCCTTGGGTCTTAAACCTTAATTCAGATTTTCCAAGAGCATCATTACTTTCTGGATGAGGGGCATTTGGAACTTAACCCAACTACTAAAATTCTTGGGAAGGAAACAGGGTACGTAGCGTGTCTGTGAGAGTGTGGAATCCCCAAGCCGTTGGGAAATCGCTAGTCTACTTCCAGGTGAACTTCCTGTTGGCACTATTTGAGAGGTAACAACGTCCACGCTTTACGCAAGCACCGCACATACTTCAGATGGCGGTAAGCCGTATTTCACCTTTCCCCCAAAAGGCCAGCTTGGTAACTCACACAATTAACCCAGCAAAAGTTTATAGGCCTCATAGTCTTTTTTTCTAAATTCTCAGAGGAAGTGAGACTTGTTTAGCTCTAGTTAATGAATCTGAACTTGCAAAGGAGTCAGATGCTTTTTAGACAGAACTTCAATTAAAGCCAAGTTTTCCTTCAATGAAAAAATATTACTTTAGTGTGTGTGTGTGTGATATTTCTAATTGAGTCAGGCTTCTGTATTCTTTTCCTGGGGGCGGGGGGGCATGTAGCACTGTTTGTGCCAACAATAATACTCTGACCAATGGCAAGATTTAATTAATTTCTAGGGCAGCTTTTTCCAAATAAGAGGCGTCCAATTTCATTCTTTGAAAAACAACATTCAAATGTTGACAATTTTTCGCATCTTTCTTGGATAAACTTGACTTGCCCTGATCGCCATTCCCTTTTAAGAACAAACGAGAAATGAAGGATCTCACCCACTTAAATAAAAGCTCAGAATGAACTCTCCTAAAGAAACTTTTTTTGTAGTTGATTCAAAAGGGTTGGGAAAGGTGAAGAAATAGCTTTACCCCAAAGGCATAATCAACGATAAAGTTAATCTTCCTTTCCCAGCTAAGTTGCTTAAAATGGAAACTGGATTTTTTCCTGGTCTTTACACAAAACATAGACGGTCGCTTAAAATGGAGCAAGCTTAGGAGTCACAGAAAAATTTCTCTGGAGACAAGACAATTTCAGCCTGGCACGGAGGTAAGTATGAACATCAGCAGAAACAGGAGTGAAGTGAAAGGTGTCCATCTGGCTTGTGTAATGACCATCTATCACTGAGCTGTACCTTCACACCCCTTGGTTTCTTTCCTCGTTATTTCTGACTTCACCTCACTGAAGTCCTTGTGTGAGCAGAGACTGTTAGAGCATTTGCCTGCCCTGTGTCCAATGGGTGCTAACAGGATGCCATCGACCAAACCCTCCCTCTTGAAATCCCTACAACAGGACTCTCCCTGCACCTTGTTCTCATCCTCTCCGTCTTCTCTAACTTCTCTTCTTCCATTTGCTACTTAAACATAAATGAGGCTCGGGGTTCTGGCCTTGACTTGCTCCTTGGACACTTGTAGGAATTCTTGATTACTCCCATGTCTTCATGTTTCTGTGCTGAGGGTCCCAAGTCTGTAGTTGCACTTCCAATGAGCTGAGTTCTAGACTCAACAATATGCGTCTCAAGTTCAACCGTTCAACCCATCACATGCCAAACTCTCACCTTCCCCATCAGGGGGGAAAAAACAACAGGCCTGAGTTTCTTGGGTGACCCTCTCATTTACTGACATGCATGGTGGCTCTTACACTAAAACCCAATTTTTCTTCTTCTTCCTTCAAACTCCTGTGGGTCACCAAACCCCGATGATTCTCCCTCTGCAGTGTCTCACTGATCTGGCACCTCCAGTCCACTCCTTCCTTCGCTAACATGAAACACTGCATAGAAAGCGTCTTCTCATTGGTTTCCTTTGCTCAAGTCCCGCCCTCTGTGATGCATTCTATATATAGCCAGAGTTATCTTTCTAAAGCCTGGATTTGCTTTTACCATCCCACTCTGCAAATAATTAATCAGCCCTCAACTACCCACAAGAGAAAGGCTACCACATTTGAACCATTTCTTTCTCCAACTCCTATCTTTCCTCCTTCATATCACACTGTTCATGATGGCCATAAATTCCAATGTGCTTCCACTACTCCGTCTACCGGGTGCTGGCCTCTCTCCTCTGCCTCACAAACTTTTATGTATCCTCTTAGACCTAATTCAAATATCAGCTCCCCAATAAAGTGATCCTCAGGCCAAGCAGAATGGATTACAATGTCAGGGCACCAGGTACATCAATTACAACGCTAATCACATCTGCAGCTCCTTTTCAACGTGGCTCTTCCTCCCCAGTGGGGAGTCCCGTGGGCAGTAGCTCTTACAAATCTTTATCTCACCAGAACCAAGTAAAATACCAAGCACACAGTAGGTGTACAACCTCTAACTCATGAATAAGGAAGGAGTAATTGTGGGCCTAGAATAAGCCAATTTAATGACATGGAACACTTTTCTAGGCATTCAGAAAAACCACGCCTGCAACTAAGCTTTTACTTCAAACTATGTATATTTAAATAATATACACTTCCCAGGACAAAAGCAAAGGTGTAAGACAATGAGAACTTCATGAATGATAAACACCATCCAAGGTGTAAGGCTATCAGATGGGGTGGCAGCTCAGCCAACTAACTGGATGAAACTCCCCCACATGAACATTAAACTAGAACCAAAGCATGTTTAGCATACAAGTGTACTGCGAGCCCTCCCTTTAGCATACTCAGAACATCAGGCCTACCGGAGTTAAATGAACCTGCTCAATGCCCTGCAACTAGTAGGAGAAGCCAGAGCTCCCAACTTCTGGTCGAATCCATGTTACACAGGAAATAAGTGAAAGAGTGAAAAAAGTAATCATCATTCATTTAACTGCCAACACAAATCCATGAAGAGAAAGAAGGTGAAACCGTGAACGAAGTTGAAAGACATGAGGAAGCGGGTGGGGGGGGGGGCGGGATCTCAAATTCCCTGGGTGGTTCTGTACTTAGCAGTGAACTTACCCTGCTGGAGTCATCCCCGTCCTCTTCATTGATGGAGCTGGAAGGGGAGGGGGTGGCCGATTTGCTCGCTGGAGGTGAAGGAGACGTGTGGGGCAAACTGGCTCCTCCCAAGTTCAACCCCAACTGGGCACTGAGCTGAGACTGGTTGATGGTGGTGAGCTGGGCGGGAGGCATGATCCCAGAGCGGGCGGCATCCGTCATGTGGACGATGGACCTCATGATCAAGGTTGGATCCTGGCGGTACTGGGATACCTGGGTGTGGCTCTGATCCTGAAAAGGCAACAGCAACGGAGGAAACTCTTTTAGTTTTCCCAAATGTCAGTGCACTTCTGGGGAGGAGAAGGTGGGCGAAATGGGTGAAGGGGGGGAAAAAGGTACCAATTCCAGTAATAAAGCAAGTAAGTCATCAGGATGGAATGAACAGCGTGTGGGGACTCTAGTTAATAATACTGCATTGCATCTAATGATATATGTCAATTATACCTTGAATGTGTAATGTTTGCAATTCCCTAGAAAGATTTAACCAGTTGTAATTTTGATGGGTCTGACTTATCCCAGGATGATGGTCTCTATTAATATATTAACTATAAGGACTCAGGCTAAAAAAGTTGAAAAGTCAAAAGCACAAAGCCCAAATTATCCAGCCGAGTCTATGTCACTATAGAGGTGTCACTGGATGACTTAAAAGAATAATTTAAAATAGACTATTAGCACAGGAGTAATAAACTTCCAACTCGTGCTTCTTTTTTTATGTACACTTTTTATTGTTGATGGTATACAGGTATCTCCACTTTACCCCCATTGACCCCCGTTCTCCCAGCCCCTACCCACCCCCCCAGGTCTTCACCACCCTATTGCCCGTGTCCATGGGCTGTGCATGTCAGTATAGAAGTTCTCTGGTTTATCTCTTCTCGTCCCCTCATCCCCACATGGAGGTATGTCAGTCTGCTCCATGCCTCCCTGCTTCGGGTCTTATTTTGTGGGTCAATTCATTTTGTTCATTAGATTCCACAAATAAGTGAGGTCATGGGATAATTGTCTTTCTCAGATTGGCTTAGAACTCTTGCTTCTTGCTGAGGAAACGGATGACACGGAAAGGGGTGAAGCCGCGGTCCCCCCACTTCAGCTCACCAGTGGGCTTGCCACCCTCCTCACACACATGGCTCTGGTTCCATTGCACGTGACCCAGTTCCGAGAGGAGAATTCCTTCTCTGTCCAGTCCTCCCAGGAACGCACCGGACATGTGGAGAGCGCGGCTGGACCAGCACCCAGCGAACATGTTTGCCTGAGGGCACCCTTTCTGCAAAAACCCCTGTGGTTGGCCAGAGGGTCATTCCCATTCGGAGTTACAATGCCCCGGGCATCTGGAAGGCATTCCACGCCTTTCGGATTGGATATCCCTTTTTCTTTTCTTTCTTCAACCTGCTTTGTTTTCTCTTGTTCCGCCCGCCATGATTTCCTGTACTAATGGGTGTTTAGAAGCATGTACAACAAGGAGGCCCAGATCTTCAGAATCTGCTTCTCAGAAAGTCACTGCAGTTGCTTCAGAGCCAGCCTTCTGTGTTCGGCAGTCATACGGAGGCTGTAAGAGTGGTTGCTTTCTTCTTCTTTTTTTTTTTAATTCCAAAGAGTCAAAAAATGAAGACATGCTTTTCAGATGACTTACTTGAAAACCTGTCATTTAAAGTGGGCCTGTGATTTTATTGAAACCGAATTCTCTAGATGCACAGTGACCACAATCTAATTGTACACCCCAGCCTGGGAAGGCTGAGCTGCGCCTCTTTGGAATCGTTTCTGGAGAAGGCTAGCTTTCTGTTCTATACAGAAACAGATTATTGTAAATAACTAAACGGGAGCATTGGGTTTTGGAATATTAAGTCCATGAAAGGCCACTAAATAAGAAGCCATAGCTATCAACAGGAAACTAGTAGAAGAAACGAGGTTTGCATGTATTGGCAGAGCTCCTCAATCTTGACCCTTAACATATTGGACAAGGGACGTCTTTGTTGGGGGGCTGTCTTTTGCATTATCGGATGTTTATAGCAACGCTGGCCTCTACCTCCCTGATGCCAGCAGCAACCTCCCTCCCTCTCCCCACCAGTCATGACAGTCAAAAACCTCTCAAAAAAAAACACACAAAAAAAACACACGTCTCTAGCCCGGCCATTGCTCAGTGGTTCAGCGTCGACCTATGAACCAGGAGGTCACAGTTTGATTCCCGGTCACGGCACATGCCCAGGTTCCGGGCTCGATCCCCAGTGTGGGGCATGCAGGAGGCAGCCCGTCCATGATTCTGTCTTATCATTGATGTTTCTCTCTCTCTCCCTCTCTGAAATCAATTAAAAAAACACACATATATTTTTAAATGTCTCCAAATAGTGCCCACCCAGCATGGAGCAAAATTGCTCTTAGTCAAAACCACTGACCTAGACTGATATCTCAGAGATAGCAAGTGAAAAAGCAAGTTGTAAAATAATTATAGAGGATAGACCCCTTTTTTGTTTAAAAAGGGGGGGGAAAGTGTACATCCAAACGCTTAACAATGGTTACATTACAAGGACTAGGACCGGAGGAAGGAGGGGAGCAGTTTAACATTTTCCATTTACAAAAACACGAAACAAAATAAATAAACTAAAATACTTGAGTGTGAAAGACCTAAAACAAACAACAACAAAAAAAGATCTACAAGTAGTTAAAATAGTCTGTAGCTCATTGCTAAGGTTGAATAGTAAAATATACAATTTTTCCTTTTCTTAATAATTTGAGTTATCAAGTTCCTGTGGAATCCCAGAGAAATGAGTCACATGTATCAGAACAATCCCATGCTTCTCGGCCTCACTGACAACATTCCCTTCCACTGTTCCTAAAATACTACCTTCTATTGGCGTGCGTCCCTCTGCGGACTGGTCTCACAGAAGTGGATTTCACATCATCAATTTGTCCCAATTTTTTCTTAGCATTCTCCTACACATTTAGCTATTTCTCTTGGAAATCATGAGCTGTCTGTCCACTCTTCCACATTCTGTTAAAGTTCTACCTTTGCTTGCTTACGTCACTTCCGTGCCCCAACTATGGGGAATGAAGGTATCTCATTCTTAATTTTACTCTCCATGTTCACCTCTTAGAACGTTTTTGAAAAGTCCTTTCCGACGTATTGCAATCTAAATGTTTCAGATATCTACAAACAATGTCCAGAGTACATTTAAGTTAAGTATTTAAATTCTGATTGTATAATAATAAGGTAGTTTAATGGGCCTGGCATTAAACTGGACAGTATGATGTACACACTCTCTCATTAAGAGAGGAGTTATTCTGCTCTCTAACCCCAATGCCTATGAAAATCAGCACGTACCGATACTTGATGGACTCATCCCACACCTAGAGCACTTTGGATGGATCTCAAGGTCAAACAGAAGGCCAAGCAGTCAGCTTTCTTGGCTTCCCCAGCCAGCGCTCCCTGAGGTTCACCTGCAACGTATGCCTTTCCTGTGGACCTGACTGCTTGGGAGCTGCTGCTGACCCATGGCCAGGGTGCACGGAGCCAAAAAGGAACACTGACTGGACGTTATGTGCCAGGGTTTGTGCTAAGCCTCACATGCATTCTCCGAGTCAACCCTCTAAAAAGCCTCCAGAATTAGGCGCTATTATACCCCTTCTTAGATCATTGTGATTCTCCGGGCCACACAGCTACCCACGGACACCCACGGAGAAACTGCTCCAAGCAGCATGGTGCCTCGATGGTGGAGGCAAAGAGAGGGAAGAATGGATCTGTGGGCTCTCCATGGCCACAACCTCCCTTTAACAAAAGGAACTCCATTGTCATTGGTTTTATACATTGAGATGGTCATAACATTTCACTACAAAAAATGGGGTCCCTCTACAGCGGAGACAGAGTGAAAAATCACCCCTGAAAAATACTGGTGATGAGGCCACGGCTTTGCCAAAACATAGAGATATCCATGTAGCTTTCAAATGCAAAAAAAACCAAAAAACACAAATGAAAATATACGCTGGCCCTATCTTTCTTATTGCCCACAGGGCATCTAAAATATTTCCTAGTAACCTCTGAACCACATAATCGACACATCACAATCTGCTAGTGTTTCGCATGGCCCACCGTTATCAGATAATACTTCCCATGTGTGAAGATTACAGTCTAAGACAGTGGTTCTCAACCTTCCTAATGCCGCAACCCTTTAAAACAGTTCCTCATGTGGTGGTGACCCCCAATTTCATTGTTACAAGTTGAACATAATTAAAGCATAGTGATTCATCACAAAAACAATATGTAATTATATACGTGTTTTCCGATATTTTCATTGTTACAAGTTGAACATAATGAAAGCATAGTGATTCATCACAAAAACAATATGTAATTATATACGTGTTTTCCAATTCATGGTGAAAATGCCTCTTCAGAGATCCAAGTTCCTTTAGGGCCACGGATTATTAACAGCAGCCTTGGGGAACTTGGCCATCCTTCAGAGCGCCAATCGTTTTCCTTAAAAAAGTAACCCTGGAGAGACGTTCCCTTTGATCTTAGATTTCCAGTTAAAACGAGAAAGATGTCAGCTCGGTTTAAAGATATTTATTAAGCACCTACTATGTGCCAGGCCACAGAACCCAATATATCGATCCTCCTGTCTTTGAAAATGACCTTGTCATTCGTTTCAACATTACTCTAATGAAACGTAATTTAGAACGGACTAATAAATTTACTATGACAATGTGTAGGCAAGAATAATTCATACGTACTCCTTCAAAATAGCTCACCGTTTTTCCTACTAGTAATGACACGATAAGGACATGGATAACCATGGATACACATTTCTTACTCATTCTTAGGATAAAACCTCAGACATGTAATGCTTTTTTATAAATCATTACCTCTCAGTTATTAAAATTCAATCCTGAAAAAAATGACCAATGATCACGGAAAGGCAAAGCAAGTAGTGAATTATAAGAGGACATCCCTCTCCTACCCAACAACAAGGGTTGAACCCTCACGGCCTTTTTCTACTTCTTTTCACAATTAGATTTTATATGTCAGGTTCATTGCATCGTTTTCTAAAAAGTTCACCGTTTGGGAAAACCTCATTCTCTCTTCATGGTCTCACTCCATCCTCTGTCCAGTGATCCTATATAATAAAAGGGTAATATGCAAATTGACCCTAACGGCATTACGACTGAAACAACTGATCGCTATGATGCGCACTGACCACCAAGGGGCAGACGCTCAACGCAAGAGCTGCCCCTGGTGGTCAATGCAC